TTTGCCCTGCAAGAAACTGACATGAATTTTCCAGCGGTAGGTCTTCCATGTCCAAGCCCACTTCTAGCAGCGCATCACAGGTGGCATTGGTGATACTTCTCACCGGCACCAGTGCTTGTTGCTTGGTGGAGATGGGTAGAAGTTGGAGGTGGTAGAGGCAAACAGAAATTCAGCCCATGCCGAGGTTTTCTGGCTGGTGAGGTGGCTGCCCTTGCCTCCTTCGTGGGTGCTTTATTGGTGAACCTCACCTCCATCGTGATCCCCTGCGTGGCTGGGCCGAACCGGCGAAGATGCCCAGGGTGGTGAGTCAAGCTCCCAGTGGTTACCCTAATAGTCAATTATTGCAAAATCAATCCATTGACCCCTATGGTAATATATGGTAATTAATGCACCCCGTATCTCCCAGTATACGGTATACTGAGTTAATCTGACAGTTTGGCAGATTAGTGATGGAACTATCACACCCAGCGAACTTTCGCAGGGTAGCTAAGCAGATCTAAGCAACACTTCTCCAGCACTGCAGCTCCAAGGTGATGTACGCACGCCTGTCCGTGTGGTCACAGCAGCCGGGCAAGAACAAGGTGAAGCTGGTGATGTGTGGCGTTTTGGTCGTTTTCGGCCTCGTCACCGCCGTTGCAGGTGGGCTAAAAGCACAACCATGTAAGCAAACTCCATGGGATAGCCTCACAGCCAAGATCCATTCCAATGATGGCTAAACGCATGCCTCTTCATAGAAACATTCGGATAGAAAGATAGATAGATAGATTACTAGATTACTAGATTACATAGATATAACAAATGAGTGAATTTGAGGCAAGACTAAGACATGAATTCTTGGGTAAGGATCTCTGTGCATGTTCGTGACATTGATATTCATGTCGTTCCCCTTGGCGCCAGGAACCTACTTAGCAGTGCTGGATATGACTCACTGATAGTAAGCCCTCGGAATTCAATCGATCGCACAAGAATCAGCTGAACGTTGGCTGATACTCTTGGTGGATCCAGCGCCGTGTCCATTGACAGGGTGTTTAATACTGAATACTGCAATTCTTACCTGGGCTTGGAGTGATGCCTAAATTCCTGCTTACATAATCTATTATCTTACGTGTAGCTCTTCTTATTACTTCTTACTGTATTCATCGATATTCTTCCACTGGTCTATGACTTGGGCTGTCCATATCATCCCATACCTGGGCACATTCATAGAATCCCGCAGTCAAAATCGGCTGCTGCAAGACCAAACTTTAGCGATGCCATCGGCCTTCCAACCAGCCTGGGATGGGCCTGGGTTGAGCTGGCCCAAGTACCTGGCTTCGCAAAGCCAAAGTCAGTTGGTTTTGCAAATCTCAAATACATTTCTTTCCTAGAAAATGCATACAAATGCTTGCAAGACAGCAGCTCTTGAGAGAGATGTGGCAAAAGATCGACAGGGACTCTGGCACAACTGGATATGTTTGCAAAAGTTGGGTTTTCCTGTTTTTCTGTGGATCTGTGTTTCTCTTCAATGTCGCTTGCTAAATTATATTGGGAAGAACTGGCATCCAGAAACTCCATGTTTGACTAGTGGAAGCTGATCATTCTCGCGTTTGCTCTTGGCCTTGGATCCCGAGGAAGAAACAGCCCGTGGATTCGCGCGTCGCATCGGTGATGAGAACATCCGAAGCAACGATTTCTGTGCCAAGGATAAAGGGTTGGAGAATGGTGGAGAGCAACGCTGGATCACTCGATATCACTAGATATGACTATAGATATCACTACAGATATCACTATAGGTTCTATAGCTATCACTATAGATATCACTAGTGTCCAACTGGTTTCAAAGTGTTTTCACTTCCCAAGTTGCTTGAAGTCTGACGTTTGGCACCTGGGAGGGGCCATGCATCATCTACCCGAACAGTCAGCATCTCCCAGGACGATGATGTGGATGTCAGCGGATTGATTAGTTGATTGAGTTGTTCACTGGATTGGTTTGTTGGGGAAAATCTTAACCGGAAACCCATGGGTTTTTACCATCAAATAATATAGGGCTTTCCGGTTTCAATTTTCCCATAATCCAATTCTATGAGTTGTGGTTCAGGGTAAAATGTTGAAGAAACATCAGGGACATCAATGGATGTGGAAGGATGGCAGGAAGCTGGCAATTTTCTGTAGCATTTTTTGTTGCTGGGAATCTTCAGCAAGGTCAGTGGATGGGAATATATTCAACATCAATGATGTATAATCCATAAATGATCATAAATGGGGGTTCAATGTTCAACATGGATTAAACATGATTTAGATATCAGTACATGCGGATATCACACCGTAAATGATGCGCTAAATGATGTTAAACAGAACCATTCCGGCTTTCCATGTTCAACATGACATCTGTGCATGATCCAACATGATTTAACTATCAATAGATCGGGATTGATTTGTATGGTGTGGAAGAGCCAAAGCTGTTGTGTTGAAAGAGCGTTCCCCCTGCAGGTATAATTATGACTTATAAAACGAAGCAGGGTGTGATTATTTGTTGCTTACGTCTTTAGATGTTGCATGGAAGATGGTGCTGCTACTGAAACTGCTGAAAGTCATGAGATGTGTTTTTCTTTGGCGCACAATTTCCAGGGTGTGATAAGAATGGCAAGCACGGGCCTACGGATTTTCAATCCGTGGCCATCCCATTTTTGCACCTCTCAGCCATTTACAGCCTCAAAGCGCGTGTTGGTTATAGCTATAATTGCTTTAGAAGACTTATGAAATCGACGATCTTGGCACTATGCCTTGCCAATTCTGTACTCCTTGTGGCAGCTGATGAGAGGGCAGCTGGAACTTTATCGGAGATGTTGGCCAAAATCCGCTCTGAGGAGTTTGAGAACAACTTTTTTGTGGGAGATGCCTTTCTGGAGAAACCCACGCCTGGAAAGGAATCAGCAGCAGGATGTATACTGGACAAGGCTTGTGGTCAGTGATGCATGAGATTCACCTGATGGCAGGAAGCGACTCTTCCTGATTGTTGTATTTGTTTAGAAAATTGCTTCCGTTGCTTCTCAATCTTGCACATGTTGGAAAGCATGCAATATTTGATTAGATAGTGTATATATATATATACACATTTTTTTATCCCTCCGGCCCCTGAAGCATTCATAACTCACTTTTTGGCCTTGCAAAACAGGTGGTTGCCATCGTCAAAGAGAACGCTATGACGGACTCTGCGACTGTGAATGAGCTTCAGGTGGATTTGGCCGCCTGCTGCACTCACGACTCCCAGGACACGGCGCGAGCGCCGTGGTGATCCTGATTTTGGGACCCAAAGTGAGAGAAAGTCACTGGAATTGTATGGTTACACATTTCATCCGCTTATATTTGGTATCCTCTGAGAAAAAATTCCCTCATGCCAGTATATGAGTGTTTTTTTGGTATGTATCAAGCTCATTGAAGATACCCAAGCATTGGGTGGTGGATGGCACAAGAGAATAGTTCCCAGGGCCAGCGGCTAGGTCCATGATGTGGAATGTGGCTTTCCTGCAGGCGATCAGTTGAACTGATGTTTGGACCCAGTCATATCCAGTTCGCCTCCTACTGTACTGTACAGCCTCGAAAATCCATCAAAGTGCAGAAGAGAGAATCTAGAAATGGCCCAACCAACATTATGTTCCAAGCAGAAAAACATATCAAAGATTAAGATAGAAAATATTAGACATGGCATGAAATAGCATGATATAAGTTCTGTTTTGGTTCTGCACCATGTTGAAATGCCAGGCTCTCGGCCAGGACTGTGTTGCAGATGTGTCCTCGGCATATGCGTTGCTGGAGGCGGTCAACAGACAGCAGCTGGACGCCCAAACCACAGCCCCCAAGGTCGCGGCGATGCTGATCCGGGCAGTGGAAAAGCGAAGCTCCGAGGAGAAAATCCGAGGCTCGTTCTCCAGAGGTCACACCAGTTTTGATTTTTTAAATATGTTTATGATTGTTTTCCTAGATTTTCCGTCAGATGATTATGATACAAAACGATCATGTATTTGTTCAAGGGAGACTTGTTGTTAGCGCTGGAAACATGCAAAGTCTCAAGATGTTTTAAGTCACATATATATATAATATTATGTAATATGTATATATAATTATTTGCATTATGCATATGGATTCTTTATCATTTTAAAGCAAACAATTGCTCTTTCGGGCTCGCGTTTTTTTTCCCCTATTTGGCATGTGTTTGTATCCTGACTCCGGGATGCTACAAAAATGCAGACAAACAATGATTCGGTGATTATGTTTTCAGACTAGTCTCCAAAACCAGTTGTTCTTTTTTCGAAGGATTCATCTTGATTTATCCTTATTGATTTTGCTTAAAAAGGTGTGATGTGTGTTGATTTAGGATATGTTTATGCATTTTTCACAAGACAAGCCATGTCCCCTCGGATTTGCCTGTTCAAGCAAATCCGCCCTTCAAGATGCACGCAACCCCCCCAAAAAAAAACAAATCCTTGGCATTCAGAAATGTGGTATTCTGTGAAGAGATAGGCCCTTCAGATTTGGAAAAAAACACATACTTTTTGAAGACATATGTTACTTGCAAACTAAGCAGCATGCAACATGTCCATTCAGAAATTAGTTCAAAGTAGTGAGTAGTTCTCGTTTCACTATTCTGTCCATTAAACAATTATTTACTTTGGTGATGGGTAAATTCAAAGAAGCGAACTGGTTCCCTTCAAAAAGTATATAAGTAGTTTTCTCGCTGCATAGTTTAAGAAGGAATTCTGCAGCACTCACTATCACAGCCGACTTCCCAGCTGAGGAGAAACCCACAGGCACTTCTTCGGAAAATGTAAAGATGTAGACGAGTGTACAATGAAGGCACTTTTTGTAGAATCTACAGAGCTTTGAGGTTCGTGGAAGCGTTGCTGCGCTGATGCGCCAGATGGAATGTCTTGAAATAGATCGGGCAGATGTCATCAGCAGGGGGTTGAAATGTCATGGTTGATATGTTTGAATGCTTATCCTGAACAGTTGCGGCCACATTAGTTGATGATTTTAGAAACAAAACATAGCATAAGATGATTTTGGACATTTACCGGCAACAATTCCCAGCAGAGTCACCAAAAGGAGAGGACCAGGAGCCCGACCAAATTCTCAAACATGATCATTTTTTGTTGTACCTATTTGGGCAAGATTCTAACTCGCGCCAAATCTAGAACAGAATTCCGTCGTAGCCTGAACATGGGGCCCTTTCTGGGCACACCAAATCGTCCCTTTGCGCAGGAGGGCTTCGCAAAAACATGGCTGGGCAGTGCCGCTGCCAGGTGCTGAAATGTCGGGGGCCTGGGAGTTCCAGGCATTGGGTTGAAGATTTTACAGGTAAACCATGGGTAAACCCAAAAACGTACTCAACATGGACAGGTTGCTATCAACTGTAGTTACGGGTATCACCACAGATATGCGTGATGTGGTAGGTGGTTTCAAGCAGATTGCATGTTGGTTTTCGGAGCCCAAGTGCAGTGACCAGCATTTTGTGGATGCAGCTGTTGGACCAACAGCCGGGTCGCATTGCAGCTCCAAAATTTGTTTGATTACCGGAGGGTATTCAACTCAACACCAAACATTGCTAAAAATTCTGTGTGAAGAAAAACGCTTTGAATCATGTCCACATGTGGTGTCATGCCTGGTGCCTTGCGCTGCCGTTGACCTGTTTTCGGCCTAGATGGATTGAAATTTGAAATGATGCGGCAGCTTCAAAGACATCTAGCAGAAATGGGTTCCAGACCTCTACTTGAAGTCCAGCTACTATATAAGATATCCACTTCACCAATCTTCACCATGGTTCACAAACAGAAGCTGATGTTGGACCAATGGTTCAAGCTATCCTTACAACAGATTTTGCCAGCTTTCACCACTATCAGCGCATCATCCACTGCACTTCAGCCATCGGACTGGCCTCTCTGCGCCCAAAGACGGCACCATGCTAGGAGGCCAGCCATACACGGTGGGAAAATGCCATGGTTCCCATGAATTTGGATGGGAACCATCGATCCATTAAATCATAAAAAACACATGCCTGAATTACCCTCCAGTAGCTCCAAGTATGGAAGATCACCATTTTTGTAAATCGAATAAATATAATTGAATATAATCGATAATTGGGCCATGCTCATCCATTTTCCAAAGGAATGTTCGTTTACCAGAGGGTAAATCCATGTAAATTCCACATAATCCCATCATTATATGTCAGCTTATTATGTCAATCCTGGGTTAAGAAACCCCTAGGCCCTAGGCTGTTTAATTGGGAGAGGACCATTGACAGTGGAAGTCCCATTAAATCACCCGTTAATAGCCCGTTTGTGGTATAAACGATTATTAACCCATGATTAACCCATTGTCCTTTCGCATTTGTCATCGGCCTTTTGGGCTCCCAGCGACTTATCAACTGGCGTGGAGTCGGGGAACCCCCATGGCGCACTGGAGATCGACACAGTGCTGGGATGCCGAGTTAGTGGGATCCGATATCACAATCATCATTGGGATTTGGCCATATAAGATCATATAAGTAGATAATCATAGATATATATATATATATAATGATATATAATCATCGAACCGAAGGAAGTTTAGAAGTCAAACTTCCGACAATATGGACAGATGGAAAAGCAGAGGTGGGAAGAGTCAGAGAAGAGAAGAGCAGAAGAGAGAAGATCAGAGCAGAGAAAGTGAGAAGAAAGACGATGCACAGGTGCGCGAAAAGGTAGCAAAGTGGCGCAACACTGTGTTTTTCCAATGTTCTGTGGCTCCAGAGGGGCGAAAAGTAGGCTCGCTAAAGCGGCGGGTGCGGAGCCATGTGGCCAGAAGAGAGATGAAAAATTGCACGCCGTTGTGGGGTGAAGCACGTTTGGAAGCCAAATCGTACAAAACACACCATGCTCGGACCACTTTTGGAAGTTGAGATGTCGAAAATTCATGAAAATTCACGCCGTTGTTGCGCGAAGCACATTTCCAAGTCAAAATGTTAAAAGTCCTACGTGTTGAAACCATTTTTGGACGTTCAGATGTCGTGCCGCATGGCCGGCGCAAGAGATTGTGCACCTTGTCAAAAGTGAGCAAAACGTGAAGGCTTTTTCTAGCATTTCAAAAAAGGATGGCAGGAGTGGGGCGTTTGAAGAGGATCTGGAAAGATGCATTTTCCGTGGCAGGCGCAGTACAAGAGACATGTTCATCAGAGATGTTAGAAGGTCAGGGGGATGATTTCCTGAGAGGGGATGCATTTCGGAGCATCAGATCTTCAGTTTTGGGAAGATGATTTTGTGTCACAGGCGCAGCACTTCGTATGACCTGGCCTCAGTTTTTCGTGGCAGGCGCAATGCTTCAGAGACATGGACTGGAAAAATCGCCAAACTCATTGGTACGAGGCCTTCAGCTCTGCACTCAATGTTCCATTGTCGAAGGAAGTCTCACAGAATTGCTTCGTTTTTAATGTTGCCAACTTCAAAATTGAGGAAGCAGGAAGCCTCGCAGAATGGCTTCCTTTTTGACGTTATCAAGTTCCAAAGCTCAGGAAGTCTTGCAGAATTGCTTCGTTTTCAAGTTTGCAGATTGCAGATAGACAGATAGATAGATAGATCGATCGATAGATATAGATAGACAAATAGATAGATAGATAGATAGACAACTACAACCACAACTCCAACTACCACTGCGCTACGCTACACTCCACTACTACAACTACAAATAAGCTACACTACATTACGCAACACTACGCTACATTACACAACACTACGTTACATTACTTACACTACACCACACTACACTACACTAATTACAGTACACCACGCTAATTACACTACAGCAACAGCTACAACTACCACTTCCACTACCACTACCACTACTACCCCTACTACTACTACTACTACTACTACTACCACTACTACCACTACTACCACTACTACCACTACTACCACTACTACTGCTACTACTGCTACTACTACTACTACTACTCCTCCTCCTCCTCCTGCTGCTGCTGCTGCTGCTGCGGCTGCTCCTACTACTACTACTACTACCACTACTACCACTACTACCACTACTACCACTACTACCACTACTACTGCTACTACTGCTACTACTACTACTACTACTACTAGTACTAGTACTACTACTGCTGCTGCTGCTGCTGCTACTGCTACTACTACTACTGCTACTCCTACTACTACTACTACTACTGCTACTGCTTCTCCTGCTACTACTGCTACTACTCCTGCTACTACTACTACTACTGCTACTACTACTACTACTATTGCTGCTACTACTACTACTACTGCTACTACTACTACTACTACTACTATTGCTACTACTACTACTACTGCTACTGCTACTACTACTACTACTAAGACTACTACTACTACTCTTCCTACTCCTACTCCTACTCCTACTCCTACTGCTACTACAGCTACAACTACACTACACCAATTACACCACACTAATTACACTACACTACGCTTCGCTACACCACACCTCACCACACTACACCAACTACAACTACGACTACAGCTACCACTACACTACTTGACACTACACTACACTAGACTCCACTATATACACTATACCACACTACAGTGTACAACACTACACTACACTACACTACACTACATTACACTACCTCAATTACACAACGCCACAACTACAATTGCAACTGCAACTATACCTTCACTACACCACACTTTAACTACAACTCCACCACGCTACAACTACAACTACAAGTGCGCTATGCCACACTTCATCCAGGAGTTGTGGGTGAGGTGACCACTGCAACCACCGCAGCCACCCCAAAAAACACAACTCCAACCACCTTCGGTCCATCAGTGGATTCGGCCTGCCATCAATGCATCACAACAACTCACTTCTCCTATAAGTTTCCTATTTTTGAAACTTCCGCCACCGCCTTGCGCGGCACTACCGGTATTCATATTTATACATGTATATATATATATATCATATACTGTACAACTATTTATGTGTATATATTTTTAATATACACATTTATTTGACCCATCAACAACCGCTGG